ACCCGCGCTGTGGCGGGGGGCGAAGCAAAAGCCGATGGTGTACACCTCCCCGCCAGCGACCTGCAGGAGAACGGGCGGGAGGAGAGGCAGCAGGACTCGGCACGGACCCCTCGATGTGCCCACCCTTCCCAGGCTAGCAGGGCCCTCCTGCAGCAGCATGCCCGGCATCCGCCGAGCATCACGCCATGCCCTGCACCCACTGAGCACCACACCTTGCGCCCACAAAGCACCGCTCCGCGCATCGTGTGGTCCAGCCGGATGAGGGCAGGGGTCTGGCAAGGGGGGGACCAGCGGCAGGAGGACGTAGCTGAAAGGAGTCCTCCTTGAACTGCAGGAGGTCAGGCCGGTTGGTGCACAAGAAGTAGAGCCGGGCCGAGGGGTAGGGGTTGGTGTAGGTGATGCGCTTGTTGCAGCCTCTCCCGCCTCCCGCGGGGAGCGAGATCTCGAACGCCTGCGGGTCAAGCACAAGCCGTGGAAGGGGCAGAGGAACAACGGGTGCTCCCCCAAACTGACTACAGAGAATTGCCTCCTGCACCGGCGCACCGTGGGGCGCGTTTCAGGGGCACATTGCCTTACATCCCCTCCTCACCCCTCCTACACCTTACATTTGATCTCTACCAGCAGGTATAAAGAAACCATGTCCAAACGAAAGCATCCTCCTTGCGCCGCCGCTGGCACCGGTGCGTTTGCAGAAGTAATTACAAGCCTGAACGACAAAGGGCCAGGGGAGCAGCTGGGACCGGCCAGCTCGTTCTCCAGCTAATTAATGAACGTCCACAGGGAGAGCCGTGGCACTCGCTCGGATATCAGCCCGCGGCACCGGGAGGCAGGCTGGCACTTGGCAGGACGCTGGGCATCAGTTTAAAAGCTGATCTGAACTTCCCCCGGTACCGAGGGTTTTGGGAAAACATTTTTTAAAGGAACACATTAGCCAGGAAATCTAATTTTCTATCTTTGAGACAAGGTCTTCGCCAGCACAGCGCTAATAGGAAGCAGCAAGCTGTAGCTTTCATTTCACAGCCGGGGATGCTTCAGAGTTGACACTCCTCAGCATGGGAATGCCTTCAAAACAGCCTGGAAGACATTTTATTGTGGTCTTCAGTGAGATTATTTGAGCACTTGAGGGATACGTGTGTGCTCAGGGTGGCAAGCAGCAAAAAACCCATGGACGTAAAGAGAGGACGAAGCAGGAGACAGCCCCGGGTTATTGGCCGGACCGTGACTGCCGGTCCAGCGCCATCACTGCGTTTTTCCAGCACGAGAGCTGCTGTACCTTGGAGATGAGGGGCTGCCTGCAGGACAGGCAGAGCAGCCAGGAGGACACCAGCTGGTGGGACTCCACGTCCACCAGGTTGAGGTAGATGAACCTGTTGCCAGCCCGCCGAGGCCTCACGCCAACGTACAGGTCCTGGATGCCGTTGGCTGGGAGAAGGAAGGCGCCGTCCGGATCCACCTGCGGAAACCAACATGGGGAGCTGCAGCCACCCGCAGCGGCCTATTGCACCGCCGCGACGTCCAGCTAAACTAGACCCCATTGCTCGTAAAAACCTCTGCACCTATGGCACCACTATTGAATCCCACCTACATGAATACGCTGGGACTGGCTTCGTGTCGGGAAGGATGAGATCCACTCGGGGAGAGCCAGCTCCTCCCCAGCCCGGGGACTCCCTCCCCTCGCAGGCTTCACCCAGGGAGACTTTTTTGTTTACGGGACAGCGATGGAGTTTTTGTGCCTTTTATTATTCACATTCGCAATTACGGCCGAACGAATTCTAAAGAAATTGTTAGTCTTCAGATGGTCTCATTAACCAGATAATTAGCCCTCTGGGGTTTCGTGCCAATGATCCTACACATGACACCTCTAATCAAAAGATAATTGTCGCAAACACTTTACGGCAGTAAATTGTTCATAATTCCAAGTGGGCTGCCTTTCCCTTTCCAGAGGGGATTTCACCGGGCTGGTCCAGGCCAGCCCCCCGCTCACCGCAGCCGCAAAGGACCTTGCCAGCCCCAAGCCTGCCCGCAGGGGGGTTACCTCCAGCTCCTGGGGGTGAGAGGTGAAGGCCCGCACCCTCCGCGGGGCCGGGGTGCCCCGCAGCAGCAGGGAGAGGCGGGTGAGCTGCCCGGCCGTGCAGCTGACATCCAGGCGCTGCAGCGAGTGCAGGTAGAACTGCCAGATCTGGACGGGCGCTGCCAGCCAGGCGTCCCTGCAGCACAGACAGACAGACGGGACTCGCCAACGGCACCGCGGGCTCAGAGCGAGCGGCCGAACGCCAAGCGCGAGGCCAAAGTGGGAGCCTGAGCTCCGGGAAAACTTCTTCCAAGGACCTCAGTTTCAGTCTCCCCCGTTCCTAAAGCTAATGTAACAGCATTATCTGATGCAGAGATAACCCGGCTGGCTCAGAAGGCATTAGGTTGCACACCGGAGATGCTCTGGCCAGGGATTACGTAGAGGAAAAGAGAACGATGTAAAACCCTAAGCTGCAAACATTTTGGGAAGTCTCCTGCCCAGCTTTCCACTGCTCAGGGAAGCTGGCCAGGCTCAGGAAGCCGCGAGCAAGGAAAGGGCGGCGCGAGCTCCCCTCCTGCCCTGCCACATGCTCGGGGTTAGTGTTCCTCGCTTTTTGGGGTCCTGCTACTTACATATAAATAGCAACAAAGAACTTCTTGATCTGTGGGCTTGGTCCTCCGGCTACTTTTAAGAAGATGTCCTGCGGCTCCCCAGGTCCCTGCACACAGAAATCAGAGCATCGTTCCAACAGTTAACCTCGAGATCAAACCAGCTAATGAGGACTCCAGGGTTTCCTTCCCATTAACGGGAAAACCTGCCACCAACCCACTTACGAAAGCAGATGCTTTCAGCATCTAGTTCAACTATGTTATTAAGTTATTATACAGCTTGGCTGAGATCTTCCAGTATTTTTAATTACAAAAGAGGATACAAATGACTATCGCATTCCAGGTCTGCATCTGTAATCAAATTTTGGCAAATTTTCCCCAAGTTTTCTAACAAGCCATAATCCAATTACCATACTAACGTGTTTCTGCAACAGCAATTAGCAACTACCCTTTGTCGCCATCTGCACATACATGTGCAAGTTTATTTTTCCTTTCTACCTCTCCCAGCTGCAAAGCAAGCCCAGGAAACCTTTGCTGGACATTGCAAAGCAAGGGCTGCGCTTGGGGAGGGACACAGAGCGACACCTAGGCTCGGCCCAAAGAGCACCTCAGCCTGGCACGGCCCTCCCCACCGCCCCAGCATCACCCAGCGGAGAGATGCTCTGCCGCGTGTTCAGAGGCTGCGCCGTCCCCCTGCCGCACGCCTCCGGTGGCTGCGGATACCCCAAGCAGCAGGGAAGGTCTATCCCACACCTGACAAAAGGCTGCTTTTCCCCAGCATTTTAATCATCTGGTATTTGCTCAAAAGAACAAGCGAGTACAGGCTGCTGCACGATGCGATAAGGTGCAGCATTCAGCTTCAATCGCAAAAACAATACAGCTCCTTTTAATTGGGAATAAAGGGCAATTTCGGCTTCATCACTGCCAGTGTTTCACTACCACGGGCTGATAAATGGGGATGCTCCGCGGGTGCAAGGCATTTCCCTGCCGAGCAAAACCCACAGCAGAAGGACATGAAGGACAGACCGATGCCAAAGCATAACTGGTACCATATTTTTGGTTTCACAAATGATGTCAGGGTCACTGCAGCGAACAAACATCTCGGGCTCCCCCCCCGGCATCCCCACCGGTGCACCTGTGGGAGGAGAGACCGAGGTGAAACCGTATTCAGCGTTTTCTCTGTTTGTGCTTGCTACCCTGCACCCCACAGAGCTGCAGACCAGAATCCCTTACGCCGGGCTACCAGCAAACTACATGGCCGTACTGGTGCAGGGAATTAAATATAACATTAATGCAGGCAAGTAGATGAGGAGTGAGTGGCTGTGAAAGGGCGAGGAAGCAGAGACAAGCTCTCTGGATGCCACCCGTACCTCCAGGAAGGCCCCTACAAACCATGGGTGCTGACTAACGAGGAAGAGCCCAAGCCCCCGCCTGGCACGCCATGGGCTCACCGGGGAGTGTGTGCCAGGGGGGCAGCCGAATGGTCTTCTTTAGGAAGGTGAGCTCCGGGTGGTAGAAGCGGAAGGTCTGGTCCACCACGTGGGGCTGCGGCTCCACCTTCACCCGCAGGACTGCGATGGGCTTCCCCCCGCTCACCTGGAAGGAGACCTGTCCCCGGGGGCCAGCGGGAGAGGGACGGAGTTTTGCAAGAGTGATGCTTCTCCTGCCGTGCAGCCCCTCGAGCAGCATTTTTGCTCAGCCCCCTCACCCGGATGTGCTTTGTCTGCCTGGCCCCACTCTTCCCCAGGGGGCGGCCACGTCAGCATCGGCACCCAGCCCTGCCGGCCCCTGCAGGGTGCAAGAGCGGGTTGCATCGGGATGCAGCACCGCTACGGCTGCGCAGTGCTCCCCGTGGCGGTACCACCCTGCCCTGCATAGGCAAACACAGCCAAGGCAAATGCTCCCTACTGGGAACAGCTCAAAATGGGGGCCTGTGCCTACCTGCGCCGCGACGACCGCAGGGTCCGCGGAGAAGGTCTGGTATTTGAAGGGGATACGGACGGTCTCATTGGGGCGTAGGTAGACCTGAGGCCTGAGGTCGTCACGGAGGTGGAACATCTCCTCCTCCACCGGCGTAACACTCTTGGTCAGCTCCTTGAAGTGGCGCCACTCCCTCGGGTCCAGTATGACACTGGGGGAGCAAGTGGCAGAGGTGCTGGTGAGGACTGGTCGGGAGCCAGTGCCACCCTGGCATCTCCCCATGCACACAGGGGAGACCCCGCTTTGGGCCCCACCTGAGCTCGGGGTGGTCAACCTCGATGGTCACGGTGTGCTGGACACCATAGGGGTTCTTCAGGGTGAACTCGAAGAACTCGGCTGTCCCCAGCACGGCGTGCACGGTGTGGGTGGCGGTGATGGCCTGGCTGAGCATCCGGAAGATGCTCTCGCCCTTGATGTGCTCCCGGTAGGCGTCGATGATCTGCAGGTCCCGCACATGCCGGGCACGCTGCTCCTGCCAGCCCTGCTGGGAGGGAGGGGACCATAAGCCCAGAGCCACCACGGTATCCCCAGCCCCTGGAGCCCCTCTCCTCACCAAGAGCTGGGGCGTCCTCCCGC